GGAAGGATCGCCGGAGCCCAGCAGGTCGAGGCTGCGGTGGCCGGGAACGGCCACTGCACTCCAGTCTGGGCGACAGAGTGAGACTCCAACTCAAAAAAAATAAAAGAGAACTCTTGGGGCCAAATCTACCAAGGACAAAATGGCATTGCTAAAAACATACCACCAGTTTCATGGATGTTTCTGGCTTCGGAGTGTAGACTCATGAGAATAGAAATGCAGATGAGATAAAGAAGCAGAGGCTGTTTTGAGCCCAGTAAGAAAGGCCAGAAGGATGGAAGGGATGGAAGGGATGAAGGTTGTTAATCTGGGTTCTTTGGTGTGCGCATCGGAGAAGAGGGGACTTTCCAAAGCAGGGGCAACCACAGAGGGAAGGTCGCTGGCCACGATCCCAGCAAGCAGGTACATTCAACTCCACTAGCATGTGACTCCCCAGCCTGCAACCACTGCTCTCCATGGCTTGGCCAGCCTGGGGGCCTCTGGTTCCAGACCAGAGCCCGGAGTGGGACTTCCTTCCCTTGATCAGCCAGAACTCTCTCCATCTGTCCATCTCCTTTCCTGAGGCCTCTGCTCAGAATTTAGGGTGTCCATACCTCTAGCAAGGCACATGACATGGCACTACCTTCCAAAGGGACTGGAGAGAACCTTCTTAAAATGTAAGAAGGCAGCTTAGAGGCCCTTGAAATTCTGCTTCCTTCCAGGCTGCCTTGGGTGGGGAGTTAATCTCCAGGAGACAAGAGCGTGATAAATAACACAAGGTGGCGGGATTCAGTTTTGGGCCCAGGGTCAACACTTCTACCTCCCTAGTAGTATAGGAGGAGACTGAGTTTTCTTAAAAGTTATACAACCAGCTGAGCACAGTGGCTGACACCTGTAATCTCAGCACTTTGAGAGGCAGCGGCAGAGGCGGGAGGATTGCTTGATCCCAGGAATTTGAGACCAGCCTAGACGATAGAGCAAGACTTTGTCTCTACAAAAAATCAAAAAATTAACTGGGCACAGTGGCACACTCCTGTAGTCCCAGCTACTTGGGAGGTTGAGGCAGGAGGATCACTTGCGCCCCGAAGTTTGAGGCTGCAGTGAGCTGTGACTGTGCCACTGCATCCAGTCTGGACAACAAGAATGAGACCCTCGACTAAAGAAAAACGTTATACAACCACACGCTTGAGGGACAGAAGTTTGGAGCATGCCTGCTGCCGGGCTGGTGTATGCTGAGATGGAATTCTGATTGAGGCAGGACTCTCTGGGGTCAGTTTCTCCCTGACCAGGACTTACTCTTGGCTGGGGACAGCCACAGACAGGTGAGCGGGTATGGGCTTAGAGGCTTGAGAGCCAGTGGTCACATTTGTCTGCTGGAGGCTTTGGAGGCCTCCACAGTGAAGAGGACACCATGGCTCTCACCACTCTCGTTGCTCTCTCTCTCTTGGTGGTCAGAAGGTCTTAGTAGGGCACAGATGTCATTTAATTTTAAGGCCATCACAGTGCTCATCCAAGCTCCACCTGGTCCTCTGTGGGGGACACACGCTGAGGAGGCTGCTTAGCCCCTTGCCCCCAGTGTCTCCAAAGCTGTCCACCACAGGTCTCTCACCAGGCAACAGTGGAGACGCCCGGCAGGGAGCACTTGTCTGTGGCTGGGCCATTCCTAGTCTCTTTCTTGAGAACTCAGTACCGAAGTTCAGAGGAGAGATGATGTGTCTGCTCATGATGGATGGATCCCAAGAAAGCTTATAATCCCTCATCTGTAAGTCAGAAATCCAAAAAACTCTGAAAAGCATTCTCTTACATTTGTGGACAGCACATTTGGCAGCAAAACCTGCCTGGATTGACGTGAAACTCTTGGTACTGTCAGTATCTCCCTTAGCGAGGCTGTTCCCAGGCTATCTGGTAGAGTTATCCCTGTGTCTGACTATGAGATGCTTCCCTGGGATATCCCACTGGGATATTAATATTTGGTTAATGTACTGTTATTACCTTTTTAATACCCACAATGTTCTGAATTCTGAACCATATCTGGCCCCAAAGGGTCTGGACAAGGGATGTGGATTTATGCAAGTGGGCTGTGAGCTGCCCTATTAGCTTGTTCGTGGACAAGTGTGAGAAGCCAGTCTGCAGCAGATGCAGGAGAATATGACTACAAAGTGCAGGCTGCGGAGGCCACAGAGTGAGGGTCCAGGCATCTTCAGAGGTTCAGACCCCAGACCCTCATTCTGACCCTTGGGTCCTATGAGATCCTCTGCATCTTTGCAACAGCTTCCCTCTTTTTCATTGAGCAACTCTAGCCAGCTTGGCCAAGTTGAAGTCAGAGAGCCCTCGCCCTCACACTCTTCAGCCCCTCAGAGGCTCAGACCTGGAGGGGGTTCTGCCGTGCTGGGCAGGAGGAGCCGGGAATGCAAAAGCCCAGCCAGACACAGCCTTCGCCAAGCCTTCCGACACTTCAGTGGGCCCGTAGCCTGCTGGCCTGGGCAGAGAGGACTGAACTCTCAAAGGTTTCCACCTCAATGAGATTCCACGGGGAAAGCAGAAACAGGGTGGGTTTGGCAATGAGCCATCTCAATGGGTTTCTGTCTGAAGGCTTTTCCACTTAGATTTTCTAAGGAGAGTCTTTGTCTTCTTTTGGAGGTGGTATGGATTTGTGGTCCTGAATCCTCCCTTGGAAAATCTACCTCTGCAAGATTTCTTTTTTGTTATTATTATTATTTTTTTTTTTTGAGAAAAAATATAGCTTCCCCTTTCTTGAACTGTGTGTCACTCGCCAAAGAATTCCACAGCGATAGCAATGCTATGAATAGGGCAGTCATAATGGGCTTCAGAAGAGACTGGAGCCCAACCACAGGAATCGTTCCTATCATGGCTCAGCTAGAATTGTGCCTTTTATAAACCGAGCTTTGAGAGGAACACATAATCTGTATTCTCCCTCTGCCTTCTGAATTGGCCATTTATGATTTTGTTTTTACCCCTTGTGAAATGCTCCTTTAAAAAATGCTGGCTTCTGTTTACATTTGAGAGAGAAATGAAACCAAATATGCAAGAAGTCATGACAGTTCTACCCAGAGGAAGATGTGTCTTGCTATCCTTGTGAGGTTCCGAACTCGGGGTGTCTCCTTCAAAGGCAAAATACTTCCTGCCTGTTAGCTGTCCTTACCAAATAGGGCTGTGCATTTCAGACCAAAGGTGGTGGCGCTCTAGTGACAATTACTCATTACTGGAGCAGAAAGAAGCAAAAAGAGAGTGGATGAAAAGTAGCATTCTGAACCCAGTGAGCTCCCCAGAGAGCCTCACTGTGGGTGGAGGATCTGGATGGACACAAGTCTCAGTCACTGTGATGATAAGGTAACCAAAGAGCTCAACCATCCAAAAGTGGTTAGAAAGAAAACAGAAGTTTAATCTGGACTTGGAGAAATCTGTGGAAAAATAGACATTTAAGTGGGATTTCTGCATTGAAAAAATGAGGTAGGAGCACTGAAAACTGAAACAGGCAACCAAGGAAAGAATAACAACAACTTCATGTGCATAGTTGAGTAGAAGTGAAAAGGGTGAGTCTGGTTTAGACCTGACCTGTTTTGCCACTGCAGAGTGGCAGGGTGGGAGGGGGGGAGACAGGAAAGAGGTCTAATGACATCTTTATCTGGTATTCTGGGGACCGCTAAAGGTTCGGAAACAAGGCTGCTTCTCATCAGAACCAGCCACTGTGCTGGAAAAATGGGAGCTCTCTCTGGTGCTGTCTTGCTCCGGGTTAGGGGTCTAGATGTGCCTGACACAGGTGGGAGCCTCCAGTCAGATTCACAGCTCGGCAGAGAGAGGCCGGGGGGTGCATGTTCTTTTGGTGAGGGAGGTCTCCTCTCTCCCTTATCTACAGGGAAAGTTGAGGGCACAAAGGCAATGGTTTCTCTTGAATTCTGGCTAAGTGACAGTGCAGCCACATTAGACAGACCCCAAAGGTGGTGTTCCTTCTAAAAAAAAGGAGACTGTCTGGGGAGCTCCCCAATACTTTAGAATGAGTCTACAGCTGAGTGAGCTCTACGATTTAGAATACTTAGAACATATTGCTTTGCAGGTCAGCTCAAAACAGATGGGTCAGGTTGCTGGACTGAAAGTTGCAGATCTGAGGCCACGGTTTCTGTGATGTCTGGGCCTACCCTTGCACAGCTACACACATGTGAACTTGCGATAGCAGACTGTGGAATGTACATTTCAAAAGTTCTTCCCATCACAGAGAGGAAACCTAAGACCTGGCACTTGGAATGTCACTCTTCTGCAAAACACTTTCGAGGCTGTCTAAAAATCAGGTCTGGTTGCTTTAGCTCTTTTAAAGCTCTCTGACTCTGCATTCATGAAGTCATACTTTCTGTCTTCCTCGAGTACTGGAAGCCAGATGATAGCTGGCTCTTTTCCGTGAGTCAACCTAACTCCTCCGGAACTGGGGTCAGCTCCCGCCCCTGCCTCTTGTCAGCTGCAGGAGCTCAGACACATCCTGTAACCCTATCCCCTTTCATCTTCACAGCTTGTTTTGCATATTGAATGAGATGATGCATGTAGAGCTCACTTGTGCGTGGCACACAGTATGCTCAATAAATGAGACCAGATTGTCATCATAACACAAAGTCTTGTTTCCTAAAGAACAACTTTAGGTGGGGGGGTGGTTGTGGTGGGAACAAACCTGAAGCCTTGGAGTATCCTTATCTATAACAGACATCGAGAACCCTACATAGACATGACACACCACCTAGAACTGTATCAGCCACTGGAAGAGCTTGCAGCGGTCCAATGTGGCAGAGTCCCTTGACCTGGGAGCGAGCTCTTGGAAAGAAAATGTGACCTGTGCTTATTATCATCTTTCCCAAGTTGTAAACTGTTCTTGAAACTTCTCTCAACATGCCAGTCGAGGAGAAAGAGCCAAGCCAAAATGAACTAAGAAAAGCAACACAGGGAAACATCCATATTGGAAAGAGAAACAGCATACAAACACACATTTGCACGTACACGCATACATGGTCTTGCTCCTGCAGGGCCGCGCTTGCCTCCAAGTTTATCCTGGGTCCCTCTGCACACGGCACCAGGAGGCAGGCTGCCAGCACACCTACCTCGCTGTGCATGAGGGTGCAGAACGCATCTGGCCTGCTGCCTGTCTCGACAGCTGCTGTCAAGAGATCCCAGAGAGATGGGTCATTCAAGGCCAACCTCACTGCTTAAGAAGTGGGGCCACAGCTGACATGGGTAGGGGACTAGAGTGTCCTGTTAGGTCGATGTGGGAGTGAGGGTGCCCTGTGGAATTCCCTAGGTGGCTTTTATGTTCTCAGGGGAGTAGAGAAGGAGGCTACCGTGCAAGGACATGCCATATGCCTTTACCATCCACCACCACGGCTGTCAGCAGGCCCTTCTTCTTGCTGCTCAGCCGGTCGTGTGCCTGGCACTGCTGGTCCCGGAAGCTGGGCAGACCCTTGGAGCAGGGCAGGTTCTCGCAGACTGCATGCTCCACACTGGCACCCAGGCAGTGTGTGCCTCCAGGCCCGGGGCTAGAAGGAAGAAGGCCAGCATTAGCCAGAGGATGCTGTAGAATAGCAGGAGTGCTCTGTTTTTGTTTCTCTTGCCTGGAGGAGGAAGGGCAAGGCAAGGCTTCCAAAGCAACCTCCTCTGCTATTACAGACCACCTCTCTGCTATCACAACCCCATGCTGATGGCACGTATAAATGAGATACACAGAAAGACGTATCCAAAAACTGTACATCAAGGTCATCTGGAAATAGAATGCAGATCAGTTCAGCAAGATCCACAGATTTTCTTTCATCTGAACTTAAAATTTGGCTATGGATAGCACTGAAGACCCAAGGGACATTTTTGGTGTGTGTGTGTGTGTGTGTGTGTGTGTGTGTGTGTGTGTGTGTGTGTGTGTTTTGGGTGGTATTCTCTGAAATGAAGACCTTTTAAATGACTCCTAGGTGTCATTTTTTCAGGATGAGTAAATAGCTCTTATTTACTTTGTAATGAAAAGAATAAGAATGATGAGTTCATGCACTCATGGACTTTGGGTAGAGACCAGTTAGATTCCAGCTGTGCCACATTTATCTGAGCGAGTATGAGACCATACACAATCAATGTTGTGGTCTTGGTCCTACACACTCTGTGCTTAGACTGGGGTTTTAAGCCATTCTGGAGACTCAGGCCATGTTCACTGGCCAAGTTCATGCATGGGAAGGTCTGACTGGCTGAAGCTTGGCTCTTCCCTGAGGCCCCAGAGTGTCCTTGGAGGACTCTGACCTGGGCAAACTCAATGGTTCCATTCAGTTCCATTATGCCAAAGATCAAATAAGATTTCTTGTCCCCCACTCCTCCTCTTATACTTTTTACTGAAATCCCGCATGAGAGAAAAAGGCACAAATCCCAACTGTTCTGCTCAGTGAGTTTGCACAAACTGTGCATACTTATTGGCAGGGTGGCATTTTGACACTTTAACCATTAGGGCATTTCTTTTACTCCCTTTGCCATTTCTCATGTTCAGACAGCAAGACGAACCTGCAACCATTGCATTATGGGAGAGAGAGAACAGAAAACTTCAGGTTTTTGTGTCATGAAGGTCTACACAAACAGTTGACAGACTTTTTCTGTAAAGGGTCAGAGAGTGAATATTTTTGGTTTTGTGGGCCACAGTCTCTGTTCCAACTACTCATTTCTGCCACTGTAACACAAAAGCAACCAGAGACAACTTGTAAAAAAAAAAAAAATGGGTGTGGCAAGCCTATTTTAATAAAATTTTATTTAAAAAAAACAATAGATGACAAGCCAGATTTGGTCCATGGGTCATAGTTTAACACTCACTGGTCTACACAGATACCTTGGAGAAAACATCCTGAGTAGAAAGAAAGGCTCCCTTTACCTCATGTACACCAGAAAACTATTCCCTCCCTGGGAGTGGAGGAGGCCTGAGGAGATTATATACACTGGTGACTCCATAGTAGAGCCTTGAGTTCTGGTCTCCAAGATATGTCCAAGTTAGGAAATGGCTAAATCCTCACAATGTGTATGGGCTCTTAGAACAGAGGGACCTTGTGTTCTGTTTCCTGTCTAGAAGACCAGGAAGACAGCTAACTTAAGAGAAATGATCGTGTGATATGTTTAGGTAGACAGAGCTTCAGACAGCCTCTCCAAGAATTTTTGGCCCAGGAACCAGGTACGAACAGAATGAATGGATTCCTGTGCCACAAAACACAGTGTGGAAGGAGTAGAGAGGCTCTGGTTCCAAAGACCATGTAGGCCAGAAGGAGAAACATCACTATGGCAACAGGTGAGTCTCCACGACCAGGACCAGAGAAGGGATGAGTGATGCGGCAGATGCCATATAACAAGATGTCACAAGTTGAACTGTGCTCCCCTCAAAATGCACATGTTGAAGCCCTAAACTCCAGGACCTTATTTGGAATAGGGCCATTGTACTGCAGGTATAATTAGTTAAGATGAAGTCACACTAGAAGGTGAAGCCCCTAATCCAATATGAAGTATCCATATAAAAAAGGGTAACCTGGAGACACACACACAGGGAGAACACCATGAGAAACTGAAAGCAGAAAAAAGAAGGTCAAACACTGTCAATAAACCACCAGGTGACAGGAGAGGGGCTAGGAGCAGATTCTCCCTCACAGCCCTCAGGAGGAACCAACTCTGCTGACACCTTGATCTCAGACTTCCAACCTCCAGGGCTGTGAGAAAATAACTTTCTGTTGTTTAAATCCCCAGTCTATGTTACTTTGCTAAGGCAGCCCTGCGAAACTAATACACCACATGCCACAGGGACCAGATGCAGCCTCACGGAACTTAGATGCAGCCTTGGGAATAGTGGGGCAAAGTCTGAAGTGACTAGGGAGTTTAAAAATACAAATTAGGTTGGCTTTTATGAGAATAAAGGAAGCTACGTTTCTATACACCTTAGGATATGGACTGCGATTTGTGCACATCAGGCACTTAACTTCCTAAGTTGTCATTGAACTTCATTTTACCTTCAGTTTCATCCCTTTCCAGAAACCAATTTCTCCAGTTTTTTTCTTTGTCTTAAGTTGGGCTCTCACCCTGTCACCCAGGCTGAAGTATAGTGATATGATCATGGCTCACTGCAGCCTTGACCTCCTGGGCTCAGGTTATTCATCTGCCTCAGCCTCCCAAGTAGCTGGGACTACAGGCATGTGCCACCATGCCCAGTTAGTTTTTTGACTTAATTTCTCCAGTTTTACATTTGACTGACTCACATACCCCAGCTCCTTTCATGACTGACCGTGGGTAGGTGGAGAGGAGACTAGTCATGACATAAGAGAGACAGACCCAGGAGAAAGTGGGACCAAGGTGGCAGCTCATAGTATATGACATGTGCTTTGGCAAGCCGCCCTCTAGATCCACCATGCTGCTGCTTCTTCCTCTCTAGCTTTTTCACATAGACAAGTCTCCTTTCAGCTCCTTATCTAGCCCACTGCCCCACTGTCCCCACTTCCTAATTCCCTGCCCATCCCTGAAGTCACCTCCACCCTGGAACCTAGTTTTCTTTCCTGCCTAGAGCCTCTCCTCATCGTGCTGGGGTCTCTGCTGCTTATCATCAACCCTGTGAAATGCAGAGCTCTTTCCTCCTGTTCCTCTGCAGCTTCCAGCAGAGACCCTTGTGCAGGATAGTCTTTAATAAACAGTAGTTAGACTGAACTGAACTGTATAATTAGAGCCTATCTTAAAATGACTGAGAGAGAATGATGTCAGGAAAGACAGAGTAGTAGGAAACACCAGGAATCTCTCTCTCCACCTAGGAAACAACTGTACTGGCAAAAACTGTCTGAAATAATTACTTTGGAGTCTACTTGACCTCAAAATGGAGTCTACTTGAAAGCTTGGCTGATAAACTGCAGTTAATTCTGGCCAATTTCAGTCTTTAGTGTGGTGGCAGCTACTGGCCACCCTTTACTCCCCACCCTGGTGTGGACTGCTGGAGCCAGAGTGGGCAATACGAATCCTATCTTCCAGATTTTGTGTTCTGACATTGTTGCAACCCTCACCATGTAAAGTGGTTTCTGGGAGATTTTAAAGAACAGCACTTCTCTCCCTTTCCCCCTTTTTGGAGCCAGACATTTAAGTATTAAGTCATTTAAAAGCAATTGTATATCCAGGAGAACTTAGAAAACTATCAGGCATGGCCAGGAAAAGATCCAGGCTCAAAAAGACCTGAAGATTTCACTGGCACAGAGATCTCATCAATCATAAAACAAAAACCAAACCAAACAACCCAGCAAACCCTGGGGAAGGGGGAGAACCTTTCTCCAGAGTAACCATACAGAGGGTGTCAAAAAATTGTATACAAATTTTAAGAAAGGAAAAAATATCTGTAAATTGTAATACTCAATATACACCAATAACAAAAGATGAATAAAAGTCACGTTTGACTTCTGCAATTACAAGAGGTGATCAAAGTGGTTACCATCAGTACCCAGACACTTCTGATTATGGCAAACTAGTACTTGACTAATGTTGACCAAGGTGTTTACTTGTATCATTGTGCATGCTGTTTCAGTTTCTTCCCAAAGCATCACCAGTGTAGCCAGTTTTCTATAGTATATCACATCCTTTAAGGTGCCTCATAGGTGGAAGTCAAGTAGTGTTAAGTCAGAAGAACATGGAGGATACTCAACTGCACCTCATTGTCCTATCCATTTTCTGCCAATTTCTTTCAAAGTTCTGCCTGTTACCTGGTATGTTAGTATTCATTTGATTAACACCATCTTTTGAGTGAATGTTCTACTATATATTGCTACTGTAACTCAATTCAACTTCGAAAAGTAATACATATATAATATCCCTTAAAATCTGAATATGTATTTTTGGCACTCCTGGTATTATAAGAGTCAAATGTCTAGTTTTCAACAAAAGCATCCCAGAAAACAGAATGGAATGGCTCATTCAAAGGAACAAAATATATCAGCAAAAGCTGTCCCTGAGGAAACCCAAATGTTGGACTTACTAGACAAAGACTTTAAAACAACTGTCTAAAGGTGCTTAAGAGCCAAAGGAAGACATAGACAGGAAGACAACATATGAACAAAAAGAGAATATCAACAAAGAGACAAATTATAAAAAGGAAACAAAAATAAATTTTGAAGTTGAAAGGTACAATAACCGCAATGAAAAATCCACCAGATGAGTTCAGAACAGATTTTACCAGGCAGAAGAAAGAATCAGCAAGCTTGAATATAGGACAATTGAAATTACTGAGCCTGAGAAGTAAAAAGAATAAAGAAAGTAAAAAGAGAGGACCTGTGTATTAGTTGATTTTGCTTGCTATAAAGAAATACTTGAAGCTGGGTAATTTGTTTAAAAAAAAAAAGTTGACTTAACTCACAGTTCTGCATGGCACACTGGTATCTGCTTAACTTCTGGTTGAGGCCTCAGGAAGCTTTTTTTCATGGTGGAAGGCACAGAGATCCAGAAAGCTACATGGCAAGAACAGGAGCAAGAGGAGGAGGAGGAAGAAAAGGTGGTGGTACCTAGTGGG